GGCCTGTAGGGCCACTTCAAGACAAACTACTTTTCTCCTTCAGCCTATTACGATCAGTGATGGAGTCCGATAGGAACAGTTACTGCAGCTTTGGTCATGTCACATTAAAGACAGCATCTGAATCTGATGACAGCTGTTGTGTTGATGATCAATTAAATCTGCTCAAACCACACCCACACAGTCCCGATGAAGCTTTGCCTGAGTTTCTTCATATTAAAGTCTTAAAATATATTACAGAAATATTCAGCTGATGTTGGCTGCATTATCCATTTCCTCATTCCTCAACTTTAAACCAGCTTATCTTGTTTAAATAAAGTTGGTTTTCATAATATAGACAAACATTTCTTGTTTTAACAAGATGCATTAGTTTGATAAAAAAAAAAAACAAGTACGTTGTTTGATGGATAAAGTAATATTATTGTTGTTATGGTTGTTATGATCTTGTGGAACAAGAACCTTTTGAGAAATTAATACCTATTTTTGTTTAATCGATTGAAAATGAAAGTTAACACCATGACACACAGTTCAGATCTGTGTAGCTCTTCTTTTCTTTGTCAGTAGAAAGGATCTTTAAAAAACCTCCTGCAGGTCCATCTCCTCCAGTGTCCTGTCTACACCTCAGCTCTGGCTCTAGTTTGCTGATCTCTGATGCTATCCAGGGATGACGCTGACAGACAAACCTGCTCAGGAAACGCAAAGCCACAGTGTTTCTGCCACAGCGACACGTTCTGTCCAACATGAGCAAAGTCTGTCAACGACGGGAGTACAGGCAGAAGGGAGACAGAACAGACAGGCTGGTTCAGTTCAGTGAGTTATTGTTCATAGAAGAGCTTTCAGGAAGGTACAGGTAGCCCCCCCCCACCCCCACTTCACCGTTGCATAACAACTGCTGATTTGAATAAGTCCCTGAGTTGTGCCAACAGATCTAATCTAAGAAAAGCAACCTGACTACGAAGTCATAGATTGCACAAGACCATTTTTAACGATTATATCAGTTATAAATAAAAACACTCCTGCTGGCCGTGATCTTCACACTGTCATTAACTACAGGCACTCAAACTCAGCAGACGGGAGGAGAAAGAAAAGTGAACCCACTGTGCTAGTGATACAATGGTGCACAGAACGGGTCGAACAGGATGATGCACAGGATGTGGTGTAACGGTGAGGAAGATACAAGCAGTTAGAAGAAGTCAGAGGGAAAGTTTACAGTTATAGCAACAGTGTCACCTGGACATTAGCCTTATGTGAGTGATGAAGGAAGAGAGATGGAACTGGTCACAAGTTGGTCCAGGTTCCACGACTAAAACACTAAGATGTTCCCAAGGAATTAGTCCAAAGGCAGGACAGACTATGGGATGATTGATCAGTTCTCCTACTGGACTTTTTACAGGCATCTAAAACATCCGACTCTTAGGAAGGGGTCGAGGTCTCTCTCTCTCTCTCTCTCTTCTTTCTCTGGATAAATGTGTCTATGTTTATGGGTGGATCTAAGCATAGTTCTATGTACAATTGTGCTCAAAAGTTTGCATACCCTTGGAGAATTGGTAACATATATACCATGTGTAAAAACACAGCTTCTGTGCAGAATAAAGCAAATTGTCTGCCAGTATTATCTGATAACATGCAGCATCCATCTTGCCGTCAATTTTCACAAGATTCCCTTAGCCTTTAGATCTCACACACCCCCAAAACATCACTGAGCCACCACCATGCTTCACAGTGGGGATGGTATTCTGTTCACTATGGCCCTCTCCAAACATAGTGCTTATGGTTGTGACCATAAAGCTCTATTTTGGTCTCGTCACTCCATATTACATTGTGCCAGAAGCTGTGAGGCTGTGAGCTGTGAGGTGTCAAGGTGTTGTCAGGCATATTGTAACCGGGATTTTTTGTGGCATTGGCGCAGTAAAGGCTTCTTTCTGGCAACTCGTCATGCAGCTCATTTTTGTTCAACCACATCGTCTTTTTCCAGAGCAGCCTGTATTTGTCCTGACGTTACCTGTGGCTTTTTCTTTGTATCCTGAACAATTCTTCTCGCAGTTTTGGCTGAAATCTTGCTTGGTATCGAGAAAATTTTCCACTTCTTAAAAATTGATAGAACAGTACTGACTGTCTTTTGATGTCTTTTTATATCCTTTTCCACCTTCTAAAAGCTCCAATGCCTTGTTATGCAGGTCTTTTGAATGATCCGTATTTAGATAGCGACTTTCTAGGCTTCACTCAAAGCACTGTTACTCTACATCACATTCACACACAGAGCCTAAGTGCTCAAACAGAAACTAACATTCACACACATTCATACTGGTGGGACATACACCAGGGGCAATTCGAGCCACAGCTGCCTTTGACAGTTCTTTTCTGCTCCTCATGGCTCAGTATCTAGCCTGCTCAGTGTATCCACGTGAGAGCTAACAAACTTTATACACAGACACTAATTGCAATTTAAAAAAGCCAAAGGTGTGGGAAATTAACCTTTAATTGCCATTTTCTGTAACAAGGCCAAACATTCAAGGGTATGTAAACTTTTGACCAGGGCCATTTGGGTGATTTCTGTTATCATTATTATTTCATTCAAACAACTATGTAATAACAGTTGATACGTATATAACGTAGATGGAAGGATCTTTGCATGTTAATCCAGTCCATGCAAACACGTGTGCAAGTGCCCAAACACCTGCACACAGCTTTAACAAATAAAGCTCGCAGAGCTTCAGTCACCTGATATCTGCTAAACTTCAGTGTGAAGATAAATAAAGTATGAATCAGGATGTAAGAGAGAAGCCGGATTAAACTACAGTCATTTATTTATTACATTTGTTATGAAAAAATAGTGAAATACTCAGTGATCAGCTCCATCGCTCACAATAAGCAGTTGTTAACACTGTGTTAACACTGCTGATGGTGTGTTGGTGTGGCTTTAAAAAACATGTTTGTCCCGTGACATTAACACCAAGCTGAATATTAGAAGTGATGTGAGTAAAGAACTCCACCCAGGGTCAAAATGTTTTACTTCCTTTTTTCGGCTGTCTACATGACACGACTGCAGCCTGTAATCTCTTCACAGCTGTGACATATCTGACCTGAATAGGTTAAGGCAGCAAAAACCACTTGGTTAGGTTTTAGGTAAGTCACATGATGGAAGTCGGTAACACTAAACATTTACTTTGTTTCACACGGAGCGAGTCCAGGGCTTGACCAGTCCTGCCTCCTTACGTGGACTGTCTTTTTATAATATGTCACCCGACTTCATCCTTTGCTTGGTCTGTTAGAGTCAGAGCTATGCTAAATTGTTCAGGGGGCCACATTTTCAAAAAGCTAGGGCCCTGCCTGAGCTATTATTATCATTGTGTATGTTCACGGCTCACCACGCAGCATTCTCTATTAAAACTTTAATTTCACTACCTTGCAAACTAAAGAAGAAAATCACAAGCCCTCCTTCCGGAAATTAGACAAAGTGCTTCATGTCATTTTCTTTGCAACACAAGCTGTGATGAAGCCCCAACACATCAGCCGTTCAGCAGATCATCTGCTCAGTTCTTTTATCGAGCTTCATCTCAGCATTTCCTGTAAACATTTAACACCTTCTCTCTTGTTTTCTGTCTTCTTCTCTTATCCAATGAACTATTTCACTTTAAACAGACACATCACACATCACAAACACAGATCAGCCTCCTGCACACCTGAAGGCTGTACTGACAGAGAGAGCGCTGATTTTAATGGCGTCCATGTGAAAGAAGCTGGATTTGCAAACGACAATCAGCGGCATGCAAAGGAGCGCTTGTTTGTGTCATTTTCTTTCTGGTTTTAAATTGTATTTATCTGTAAACAGGACTGATCACTGGTCTGTCTATGTTTATTAAACATATTTTATTTAATGTATAACAACAACACTGGACTTCAATGTTTTAAGTTTGATTTGGTTTCTCTTGTTCAGATTTCCCACCTTTGTCCCTGTTGCGCATCCAGCTATTCAAGGATCAGGACCTGTCTTTGAATCATGTCTCCTTCTATGTTTTATGTGCTACATGTATTGGAGGTTTGTCTTCTCCTTGGAGACCTTGAGGCTGTTGTTGGCCTGCAAAGCCCACTGAGACATTAAATGTGATATTAGCTCAGCTAATAATAGCCACAAATAAACTTGACTTGACTTGACCCAGCAGCCTCAGAATGACTGGCCCAGAGAGAAGTTAGCTTCAGGCAGGATGAGACACATCCAGCCTGTTCAGATATTTACTTTACTTTATTTTTATTTAACCTTTATTTAACCAGGTGATCAATTAGATTAAATATATATTGCAAGAGAGACTTGGCCAAGAAGCAGCATAACACAAAGGACATGTTTCAAACGTATAAAAGACAGAACATACAGAAATACACACAAGCCTCCCAGTTCACTGAAAAAGGCAAAAAACAATTTTATAAACAAAGACCAATATTCATCTGCCTTCACAACGCACAGTGATACACAACATCCACTGTCTTTATGTGTTGGGCACTCATCTATAACAGATCACCATAATCTAATATGAAAAGTTGGGGCGGCAGTAGCTCAGTCCGTAAGGATTAGGCTGGGAACTGGAGGGACGCCGGTTCGAGTTGCGGAGTGCGGACTGGTAGCTGGAAAGGTGCCAGTTCACTTCCTGGGCACTGCCGAAGGAGGCCTTGAGCAAGCCCCTGAACCCCCAGCTGCTCGGGCCGCCGCACTGGGTGGCAGTCCCCTCACTCTGACATCTCTCTGTGTGTTAGTATTGGTTGTGTTTATGTGTGTGTCTTTCTGACCTGTGTGTAAATTACTAACATAATCCCTCGCGGGATTAAATAAAGTATATCTTATTATTATTTTCTATGGTCTGACTGCGAACACAAGCAGACTCTGGATATATTCAGCAGGTAGACACAGACTGACTGGTTTCAGAAGCTGATGAACAGGTTGTACAACACACACACACACACTGTGTTGTCTACGTCACTGTACTTTGGTTTAACATTGAAAGAGGAAATCCCAGTCTGAGACTGAAGTCCGTCAACCGCACACTCAAACATGCGCACTTCCTCATGTACGTGCACTTGTTGCTTCACCGTTACTATTAACAGCTCGACACACAGCCTGCTGGGAGGAGAACGCTTTTAGCCAGGTGTTCATTGATGAAGGACTAAATCCAAGTTATGATAGAGTCTTAACGTCAGCACTGGATCAGCTCAGACTAATGGACCAGACATCCCAGCCAGCGCAGGTGGTGAGTGTGATCCTTAACCTGCACTTTGTTCTCAGCTCCTTGTTTGTCTAAGTTCAGCAGTGACTAACCTGCTTTTTTCACGTTCACCTCACCTTCGATCAGAAATGAAAGTGCAAATATTCTGTGCAGTTGGTGGGAGTTAGGAAAGCAGAAAGACAAAGTGCAGAGTGAAATGTAAAGCTCATATTTCCTGTGAATATCACATGACAGGAGGAATAGAGAACTTTGATCTTGACAACCTCACTTTTACTTCCTGTGGTGAGAATTACATTACAACGTGCACACCATTATGATGTTTGCTGTGGGTGGAGGAGGGGAGGGTAATGTTTTTAACTCAAGGGTAAGCATATGTAGACACATGAAGCCACAAAATATTGGTAACCTTAAGTATGGGCTATTGCAACTACCTGCACACCTGCAAATGAGCCGCAGACAGACTTCCCTTCATTAAAAACATTCATAACCTTTGTGATTTATTAGGAAGTGAGCATTTAGTATTATGATCATGTTTAGGTCAAATTTTAACACCGGCCAAAGGCATCTTTCACATTATTGTATTGCTGCTGATGATTTATTAACCACTCATACAGCCATTTTATAAAGCCTGTAGACTCTTTTCAAAAGCTGCCTTATTAGAGAACAGTACTAAATAAAAAACTACCCCACTGCTAAAGTTTCACATGTTATCAACCAAACAAAGCTAGCATCTGCCCCAGGACCCCCAGCAGCCCCAGTACCAGGATCACTGTGTGTCATTTGGTTTGCAGTAATTTTATTATTTGCATTTTCGGAACCTGGTTAACTCCTTTACAACTTCTCACTCCCTAGTCGTCACATATGGACGCATGGTCAAGACCCATTGGCGTCAGTTTGTAACGCACTGAGGACCCCCTTAGCGTCACAGTTCAACACAATGTTAAATGTAGGATATTTAACAATAAGACTGAGTAAGGAGGTTGTTGAGGTGGACAGTGGGCCATAAACCTGACTTGTTTGCTGTGTGAAACAAAAAGTAAAAATCAGTTTTTTTCAAGTTATGTAGGTTTAATTAGGTTGCGTAAGTAATGTTACTTAACTTACATAAGTTACCTAACGAACAAAACGTAATTATTTTAACCCAAACCATGACCCTTTCCTAAACCTAACCAAATTTCACAATGTTAATCTCTAGATTTATTTTGACAGTCTAACCAGATGTTGCACGGAGCCCTACAAATCTGAAGGCTACGCTAAAGGGTACCCAGGTCGTTGTAAAGCGACGCCATGGGGTCTTGACCAAGTGTCTATATGTGACGAGTTGGGAGTGAGAATGTGTTGTTGAGGCACCGTCATGCAGAAGGGCCCTGATAGAAGATGAACAAATCCCCCAAAAAGACTTTAGTTTTTGAGTTACAAGTAGTTTTGGTTGTATAAAAATATTTTACATTTACTCATTTGGCAGACACTTTTATCCAAAGCGTCTTACATTTGAGGAACAACATACAAGCATCAACAGAGCATCAAATACAGATCTACAACTGACAATACATACTAAAAACATACTATATTTTGCTGCAAAATTAGTTTTTTTTGGTTGATGTTTGATGCTCCCCAAATCCGCAAATTCTGAAAACATAGTCTTTTCCAGGGGGGACGGCGTCTGCCTTAACATATGTGTCTCTGGAAATAATGAGTGTCACCACATGTGGACTGGATGTTCACAGACAGGCACTGCATACAAAAAGCAAATATTTGATCAATACTTTTGTCCTTTAAAATTTAAACTCTTAAACGCACATGAATTATAGACAGGAATTGAATAGAAATTAAGAAATTAATTAAATAAGAAATTAAGAAGGCATTGTCAGCTACCAGTTAAGTGTGAGATTGATCAAAAATGACCTTCTAATCAGTGGATTAACTGATTAACTGTGAACTCCTTCTGAATGGTCTCTTGCAGGTCGACTGTTCACAACACATCACTGTAAACACGCTGTTTGATTACTTTATCCCATCATCTGTTGCCATAACTTGGTAACTGTTTAGTATTATAACATGTAATGCTGGTCTGAGTCCAGAAGTTCTCCCACTTCCTGTACACTGTGTGTGTCTTAGTTTGTAGTTGAATTTGTGGTAACTTGATAAAGCAAACTGGATTTTAACTCTGTCAGCTTTATATAAATAAATAATAAATAATCTTTATGGGAGATGTGCTGCAGCGCATTTACTCAACTACTGTACTGGGATTAAGTACAGATTTGAGGTAATTGTATTTACTTAATACTTTTTATTTCTACTCTCCTCTATACAGCCCCCACCCTCTGGAACTCCATCCCAAAATGTTCCCTCTCTGGACACTTTCAAAAATCAACTAAAAACCCACCTCTTTGCCACGGCATTCAGTCTAGATTGACCTTCTTTTGTTGTTCTGTTGTTTGTTGTGTCTCTGTAGTTATGTGTAAAGCGTCCTTGGGTCCTGTGAAAGGCGCTAAAAAAATATAAGTTATTATTATTATTATTATTACTCCACTACATTTCAATATTATTCTTTTTCCTCCATGACAGCTGTACTATATACAGTATGTACTGTATATTCTGGTTACGTTGCAAATTTTGCATATATATGCATCTTTTACGAGAAAAATATGTAGCTGGTATATTTCAACTAATTTCAATGCAAATTACTGCAACTTGCCTTTTTTTGTTGTTTCGAGAAGCAGACACTTTTTTAAACATTTCTATTAAAACAAGTTGATGTTTTCAGACTGCAAAATAAGGTTTATAGGATTTAGTGACAGACAGAAATGTTTGGAGGGTTAGTCTAAAGTATTTCACCAACTACAATAAAAATGCTCTTGTGTAAAAAAAATCCTATAACATGACAAAAGTCATGACAGCTTCTGCTCTACATCTACTTTAAGTATCAAGTACGATTTTTAATGCAGGACGTTTACTTGTAACAGTGTACTTTTGCATTGTATTACTTTTACTGAAGTAAATGATTTGCATACTTCTTCACCTTTTGTGAACCTGGAGCATTCAAGCCCCCTGAGGGTCTGTTGTCAGTTACAGATGAAGTACTTGGAGCGCAAACCACATCATTTATTACTCACAGGCATGGTCACTACAGCCGCCTGAAGCCGTCTGTCCTTTGAAGTAGTCCTATCTGAATGATAAGTCTTATCTGAATGACAAGCCAGAGAGGGGACAAGTGTTCACAGGCCTGAAAGCCCCCCAACGGACGCTAGCCACAGGGCTGAAAGGGCATTTGCATTTTGGTGGTCTGATGTGGTTTTTGGAGAACACAGCAGGGTCAGATTTCATGTAGAACTTGATTGTAGTGTCTAATTCTAATGATTGCTGCTGTATAAAGACTGGAGGGAGGGGAAACAACCTGGCTCTGTCCAAAGTTCAGTCCACCAACACCTCTAAAGCATCTGCATCATGTTTGTTTAATCTCAACACAAACAACGTACAGCTGGAGCTATGTGCTGGAACTATTTCAGCCGGCTTCAGTCACTATAGTCCCAAGGAGGTTATCAGCTTTGGTACCATCAAACCAAAACATGAACTCACCGACAGAGATGCTGCACTGAAGTGGATACACTGCTGTTTGTCAAGAAATAGTTCCTAAAAGTTTACAATTCATTTTTGGTCCGATTAGACGGTGTGTTTTTGGCTGGCTCTTTCCCCCTGCTTGTATGTAACCATAGCCTGTATAAAAGAAGTGGGCGTAGCCAGCTCACTGTCTGATCATGCTTTCTGTGTCAGTCACTATGGCATCACTTCTCTATGAACAGCTGTGTCTTGATGTAGGGGTCGCTCTCTTCTTGGTGTTTCCTTCACTGCTCATGCTCACTACCTGTTTGCTCTTTAATTTATTCAAAACAAACAAGAAACACAAAACTTGATGCTTCCTGTGCCAGAGGAGTTTTCCCAGAACAGTACATTGACTGACTAAAGTGCAAATGATAAAGCTTTCAGAAACAACTTTAACAAATGAATATTCCAAATACTCAATGTTACGCTCCCCTGACCCTGCCTTCATGCATTCCACTTGTACACTGGTGGTTTATATTGCTGGGGAGTTTTCCCATAGGGCATCGTCATGTGCTGTCATTTTGGTTAGCTATAAATAGTGGCCATGTCTTCCCATGCAGATCCAACAATGCTCACGGTCCATGCAGTATGAGCCTCCAGTTAAGTATTGAAACAAGGGTCAGTGCTATAAAAGTAGCAACAACAACAACAACAGCAGTGGCTTAGTGGTAGTAAAGGGATGGTTAACTGGTACTAGCTAGCTTCAGTGACAACAGAGCAGACAAACTATTAGAGCCGAGTAAAGACCAGACAGTGTGAGCATGTACGCCTCAGACCAACATGCTGTTTACAGAAAATCTCCTTAGCGTGGAAACGGACAGTATTACAGCTGAAACTCTACAAGAATTTAAAGCTGCGCTGATTATTTTCTATTTATCAACAAAATCCATATGGTTCGTACTCTAGGACCACGATTATCCACAGAACAAATCGAAGATCATGTAATGACCTGAATGGACCAAAATAGGAAACTTCCATCAATAATGACTACTTTCAGTAGCCATGTAATAGGAAATGTCATATCCATATATCACAAAACAACACCGTCAGTTTCAGCAGATGCCCCTTGTCCTACAGATGGGATGGGAGATCAGAAAAATCCTTTTACACTATTTCTTGTTTAATTTGCAGGACTTACAAAGGTCATATATAAAGGTCACAATTTTGGCCTTAAGGGTCAGGGGAAAACACTGAAGCCTCTTTACCACCCCATTGGGCAAATCTGGTATCTTTTTTGGTACCAACTCCGTTGAGGTTCCAAGCGAGCTGAGACGATACAAAAAGGTGACATGAAAACCCTGCAGACTGCTGATTGGTTAGAGAGAATCAGCCCATATTAGAATAACCTAGCTAGCAGCTGCTGTGTTTACAGCTGAGCTGCTGCTGCTAACGTTAACTTAGTTTAGTTGCTCAGTTTGTTTTTAGTTTAGGATTCCTTCAGTGTTGACTGTTCAGGTTTCTACCGGGAGCTGAATTACCTTCAATGTTGTCTCCTCTCCAAAACAAACAGGCCCACTCATTAAAATTTTAAAAGCAGTTTCATCCTAAAGAATTTTTGTCTCTTCAGCGGACACTGTCCGTCAGCGAGCCGACTTCTTGACAGGAAAATGGCTGTTGGCTGGGAAAGCGGTGTGCGGCATCCCTATGATGTAAAAGAAAAAAACATTCTTCCTCTGTACTCCATGAACATCCACAGGAAATGTAATGTCAGTAAAGCTATTAAAAATCTTTGTCAAACTGAAGAGTTCATCCTCTGGGGACCAACAACATTTATAGTTAAGACACACTGGACCAAACGTGAAAATTGTGCACTAGATGAAAGGTCAGCAGCGTCACCAGAATCATTAGGAATCATAGTTTTATATTTAAATGGGTCTTTCTTCCTTTTCTCTCAGAATCCAGAGAACCACCTGTCTCCAAACACAAGGAGGAGTTTCAGCTTCTCGTCTCTCCGCATAAAAAGTAAGATACTGGATCATTATTACACATTCACATTGTTTTCACTTAATTAAAGATGACACCTGCATCTCTATCAGCCTGTTATTTACTGACCACTCTTCTCTGCAGAACGGCACAACAGCAATGATGAGGGTGGATTTACACGACGCAGAGGGCTGCTGTCTTTTTCATCAGTACGAGAGACATCCAGAAAAGGTAAACAACATATAATAAACTATATACTTTCATTAGACCCTCTCTTACAAGCTTAAATCTGCTAAGGTGATACCAATAATCACATACAACTCCTAGAGTCAGTCCTGGATGAAGACGAGGCCTCGCAGGACCATGTAAAGAAGACAGGTATGTATGAAGGTCAAAAAGCTAAATGCAGTATAGCGTTCTTTAAAGGTAGAGCACTGTATCAGCTGTTTCACTCATGCTCTGCAACCGCTGACCCATCCATCAGCTGCTTTGCGCCCAGCTGATCAGTAATGTCCAATCATATTGATCCAGGTGTAGAGTGTGGCTATCATAATACTTTTAAGGTGTGTTCTCACAGAATGCAAAGGGAAGTTTAGACACAGTCAGTGGAGGTGAAAAACAGCTTCGGTCTAAACACACCTTTCATCTGCTGATGCACCCACGCTAAATGCTGTTCGCTGCTGCAGCTGTCTCTACCCGCCTCCTCATGTGCTCCGAATGTTGAGCAGTTTAAAGAATTAATGTTCATCTATTTGTTAGGCCGATTAGTTCTCCAGCACATTCTTTGTTGCTGCTTTGATGCTTTGACAGTTCCCCTGAGAAATAAACCTTACCACCATTTGCTTTAAATGTTCAGTTCCTCAGTTTGATGGACGTCAGATGTATTTTTAAAAGTGCCGTATACCTTTCTGCGTTGTGTTGCTGATTCGCTTGTTCCTGCAGCTAAGTCTGTTTAGCCTGGCCTGAGCTCCGAACCCGCTTGAGTGGTAAAAACCTACCCGGTCTCCCAAAAATTACAGTTATATACTACTCAAGATGTTTTAAAAGAAAGACAATGCTGCCTGTGTTAAAACAACAAAATGTTTAAACTGAAAGTCCATTGTTTCCCTCACAGTGTTGGTATGGGTAACTGACGCATTTATTCTTTAATGATATCAACTGTAAACAGTCAGCTGTGACTTCAAGTACGAGAAAGGGTTTGTTTTCTTTGTCAATATTTAACCAGAGACAAGATCAAACACCTCCACACAACTTCTATGAGGTGAAGAACAGGCAGCAGTAAAAACATTTTAGTAGTACGTAGACCTAATTTTTGAGAGACGGGGTTGTGGTGTTTGATTTTCAAATAAATGGGCCGAATCTGTTCTCGCTCTTGAATACAGGAACACGCAGAAGCAGTGCGCCACAGTTCTGTGGTTCTGACACAGATGGAGGTAAATTTCTATTTTCCACTAAATCCCTTTAAGAGACCAAACTGAGCTGACTAGACACAGATAGGACAATAAAAGAGCCCATAGGCCAGTAACAGTTTAAAGATGTAAATGCTCCGTACTTGTATAGCGCCTTTCTAGTCTTTTCGACCACTCAAAGCGCTTTTACACTACATCCACACACTGAGCCTAAGGGCTCAAACGGAAACTAACATTCACACTCACTCATAGACTGGCGGAATAGCCGCCAGGGGCAATTCGGGGTTCAGTATCTCGCCCAAGGACACTTCGACATGCAACCAGGGGGAGCCAGGGATTGAACCGCCGACCTTCCGATTAACGGCCAACCCGCTCTACCTCCTGAGCCACAGCCGCCCCAGATGTACTGACATATTGATTTTGAAAAAAACTTTGAAAGAAGATTGGACCACAAGGAATAATAAGGAATAAATCTTTGAACTCAAATACAGGTTTTCACATGTTACTACATTTTGACACACCATGCAGTATTTTAAATGTCAGTGATATTATCAGCCTATATATCAAAACCAGATCCAGATCCTAAACAATCAGCATTTGTTTCCCAGTGCAAAATGGTGCTGTGGCCAAATAAAGAACTGTCATGAGAAGTATTACCAGGCCTGTGAAACCAGTTGTATTATGTCTTCCTCTGAAGTCTGTTGTGTAATATATTGTACATACTGTATATGCTCACCTGGCAAACCGAGAAGGCTAAGATTGTACAACGTGGACCAGAAACTGACTGCATATATTCAGGCAGTACTGGAAAGTCTGAAATGTGAAATACAGGCCTGGTATAAGAATCTATCTGTACAGTCTAAATCCAAACTCACAAAGACTGCCATAGTAATAATAACGGGGAGGGAAGAACACAGACCTCCAAACTATTCATGAGCAGTCAGTTAAGGAGCACAGAGTCCTAGACCATGTCCTTCACTATGAGTATGAGCTTTTACCATCAGGCAGAATATACAGAGTCCTCAAATGTAAAAATTAATTTGTGCCCTTTTCCATCAGCCCTCTTTATATAGAATAAGAATAAGAGTCTGTTACACACTTAAATGTGCAATATACTGCTACCTTTCTGTGTAATACTTTTAGGCCTGCAACAGAGGTATTTGAGCAATATGGTGTGAGGCTGGCAACTGGGTAAAATGTTTTTCAGATGTCTGTTTATCTGTTGATTGTGTTTTTTATTGTTTGTAATGCATGCAGCATCACAGAGCCAAAAACAAATTTTCCTATTCACTCTCAAGTCATCACATATGGACGCATTATCAAAAAGGCGTCAGTTTGTAACGCACTGGAAGCCCTGTAGCGTAACTTTTGAAGTCCAAATAAGGAGGTGGTTGGGGTGGACAGTGAGCCAGAAACCAGACTTTCACGCAGGAGAGGGGTGTTCGTTTCCAGTGTGAAATAAAAAAAGTCAACATTAAGTGTTTTTATTTAAGTTATGTAGGTTACATAGGATACACAAGTAACATAACTTAAGTAAGTGAAGTCCAGTAAGTAACTTTTAAGCCAAACCACGATCTTTTCCTAAACCTAACCAAGTAGTTTTGTTGCTAACTAGACCTACGTGTAAAAAAAACGAAGCGTACCCAGGGTTTTACAAAGCGACGCCAAGGAGTCTTGACCAAATGGCCATCTGTAACGAGCTGGGAGTGAGAATGCGTTGCCTCATGGGGACAATAAAGTATATCGTATGATATATGGCTGCCAGCTTTCTGAACGGCTCTGAATTTCCTGTTCATTCACTCTACTGACGTTTCAGAGAATACTTATTAACAAGAGTTTTAAGTTTAACAACTCAGAACTCAAAACCTGTAGTACAAGTACAAGTGAACACCGCTCAGAGATGGAGTTCCTACTTGGGCACTCGTCAAATCCACCATTTCCCCCTATTTGTGTCATGAAGAAGCAGACGTCACTCAATAATAGCAGCACCCATAGAAGCACATGTAAACCATAAACTGAAAAGCAACATAAAGTAGGCCTATATTTTCCTGTGTTTAATTAAGATAATACATATTATAATTTTAAGTATAGCTGGTTACTGAAAGTCATCTGCACAAACGTTATTCAGGAAAATGTTTACAATGAGAAAACAGTAGAAATACACAATTTTCTGACTTTTGCAGATCAACAATAACCATTCATTTAGCTGACGCTTTTATTTAAAGTGACTTACAATTGCTATACATGTCAGAGGTTCCACACCTCTGGAGCAGCTAGGGGTTAAGTATTTTGCTCAGGGACATATTGGTGTATCACTGTGAACTTGAACCTGGGTCAATCATACCAAAGGCTTATCCACTATTCCATCACCACCTCGACTGAGATTACCGACTAATGTGTCGAGACAGGAACACAGTTAATATGTTGCAATGTCACTCGTTTTCATTAACACCAATGGCCAGTACTACAAAGGGAGTTCAACCTACTCAGAGTTAACTCATGCTCGGTATTTCTCCAGAGGAATGCACGTTGGTACTGTCAGGAAATTATGAATGTAAAGACAAGTTAACGGCTAAATCTAATATCGTGGAGGGTGACAAAGCCAGGAAGGCTTGTTGGCATCACATGGAGTAAATTTGTAGCCTAATTATCTTCACAGTGTTCTTATTGTAGTTCTCTATTCTGTATTTTATGGGCTCTTCTTTTATGTGTAATATGATTAAGATGTAATTGGGTACAACTGCACAGAAGGTCCATTGTAATAGAAAAGAAGGAGCCAGCGGAGAGGGGTGATAATCCGAGACAGAATTTAATTTCCAAGATTAATCTACAAGTAAAAAACATGAATATTCTCTGACATTATAGTCACACATTTATGAGAGAAACTTCACTTTGCAAGGCTGCAACATCACACACACGTCTGCCCTGTATTATGCATGCACTGGAATATTAAACTTTGCAATCGGATTTAGCAGTGGGGAAATACTCCTGAGTTTAGCCCACAGTCACTACCATGCACCTTAGAGACTTTGCCTTGGATTGGGCGTATTCAGAAGAAAACAGTGATATTTGATTTTTTTATGACATTAATTTCGGGGAATTTCAGATTTTTCTTCTTGTAGGCTAAATTTCACACTTTCATAGGATTTTTTTTTTTCTTGGTTATTAACCCCGACCCTGGCTCCCTATTTTTTGGACACGTAAAATAGTTTATCTAAATACGTGAAAACACTTAGGAGAATTCAATTATAGACTACAGACGGGCTACATCTAATAAACTATCCCGTTAATTAATTAAGATTCCTCTCTAAAATCACTGAGGCTGCAGGACTCGCTGTCTGAACCTAATGCTCATGTGTTCAGAACTTCAATGCAATCCCAGTGGAACAAATCAGGATGAAATCTAAACATTTTATGAAGTGGTGTGTATTAATATCCTACTTCTCATCATTAACACTGAGTACAGATGTGGAGTGTAGTCCCCGTGCAGGGTTACCTCGAGTTAACCATGAACAAAACCTGCTCGGAGCAGTTTAGAGATGCAGCGTAAATTGCCATGGCAACAGACCCCGGGTAACACCTATCCACTTTTTGTAGTACGGGTAATCGGGAAGTTACACCCGACGTAACAAAGTTACTCCTGAAGTTACCTGGATAAGCCAGGTACCCCGCTTCGTAGTACAGGCCACAATTCACTGCTGACTTGACAAAGAAACATCGGTTTTTTTACGGTCAGCCGTGATTTTTGTTTACGTTTGCCGTCATGCACATCATGGAACGCTTTGAGGATGGTAGTCGTAAATTTCCACTGGGTAAGTCCAGCTGTGACCGAAACTCAGCATAAGCCAACCTTGTCCCATAAGTCACAAAAATGACTTCCGACCTAATGACATGTAGGATGTCTCCATGACATTGTGAATAAAACATGTTTTTAAGGCTGACATCATACAGACTTGTGGCTTCTACAGGAGCATAATCGTTTCACAGTTTCAGCTTGGGGTCAGCCCACCTTGGATGGTTATGATGTTATCGCTAATTAAAAAAAAACGTATATATTGAGTTGCATTATGGGAATTGTAGGAACCAGCGTTTCTGGAGCTTAACCACAGATGCTAAAAAACAAGTGGACGTAGCCACCATGACGTCACCCGTTTCTTTGTAGACTTAACATTTTGAAGCCTCCAGTTTGGCAGATTGGTCGTCGCCATTTTGTTTTTTTGGAACCAGACGTGACCATATTTGGACGAGAGGGTGGAGCTAGCTAGCTTGGTAAGCAAGGTGCATCTGTAATTCACTTGAACTTTTTTGTGATATTACCTGGGATGCAAAATTTCGCTAGCAGGCTTAAAACAAAATGTAAAGTCAGGCTATACCTGCTGCATACATTTTTACAATTGTCTAATAAGTCCCCCAGTTTTATGAAAGTGTACAACTAAATTACTGTCGTGCCTCTATAATCCATCTATATCCAGATAATTTCGTTTGTTACTAGAACTACAGTGAACAAGTTAGCTATTATTAACCCTCTGATAACAGATGTGATCGAAGGCTTCTTGACAGATGTGTGAACTTTGAAGGTCTTTGTAAACCTTTTGTAGTTCTGATAGGTGAAAATATTTCTCTATCTGCAAGCTGAAAGTACTAGTGAACAGTGTTTTCAGAGTGGAAGAGGTGAGTCTGACTCAGCTCTCTGATGGCTAAAAGCTGCTGGTTGTTGCTTCAGTGTTACACTGTGTTGAGTTTCTGTTGTTGCTGAGCTGTAACATCTATTCGATGAACTTTCTTGGCGGGAGTCTGTTGTTCTGATGTCTTTAAACCAGCCATGACCGATACACCGTAAACATGCTGATTTAATAGCAACGAAGACGGTACTAGCCGTTTGTCGCACGTGACGTGAACGCAGCAAGGGAGCGGTAGAGGACCGCTTAGCGCGCGCACAGCAGTTTGCCGGAACCCCATAAGGATGCGGTGTGTGTGCGGGAATGGACCCGATGAAGATCCGCTGCGGTGCTGCTGAGAGGGACAGGACTGATAACTCACGGGGTGTTTTGCAGCGGAGCAGTGATGAGTGAAGCGGTACCGAGGAGGAAGAAGGCGCGAGCGATCCTGAAGAGTAGATGGAGTGAGTAACGTTAACGTTACGTGAGTGACGGACACAGATCAACAATGTGAACAGTATTAATCGGTTACACGCGGATAAAAAAAGAGTTAACTGTTAAACAGGTGATTTGTTTACCATAACGTGCGATGTTTACCTGTCTCGAGCAAGTTGTTGTGCCCACACGTGTATCAGGTTAAGGAAGTACTGCCCAGCCAACGGTGTGTTTTTGTAGTTAAAGTGAAATAAAGTGCAGCACGGGACATATAAAGCATCCGAATTGATTAGTAGACTCCAGTGATATGTTTTGTGTCTCTGTATCTCAAACGACTGGGAGGGGAACAGTAAATCAACTTTTTACTAAATGCAGTTTGGTGTTATATTTCCTTTAAAGTGGAGTCATATTCCCGTAAAACAACATTTTTAACCTGTTAAAGGTGTCGACAGGATTTTAGTCTGTGACAAGTGCACGTACTGAACTTCAACATGTTGCCAAACTTCATATCTGTAAACCTGCCTTTGATGTCAACTCTTAACTTTGCCACTGTAGGATTTACTGTGACATTTCTTTGAAGCCTCAGGAGCTGAACTGACAGAGACATTTCTGAGTTGTTGCAGTTTAGGAAGCAAACTCCAAGTGAGGTTCTGCATAATGAGCCAGGACAACAAAAGGATGAAATTTAGAAGCTAAGAACTGCTTTATTATGAATATAACTGGACAAATAGAAAAAAAACATTGAGTGGGATTTTGGGGTATATAAATAAACTGGCTTGACTTAAACAGATGTGTAGACAGATTTGAAGTTTGCTGTTTGCAGGTTTTCTGAAAGAAAAACAACACATGTAGAGGATTCAGGCAGTGTTTAGTGATTGCGCCATTCCTTTTCTTGTAGGCTTCGCAGTGTTGTGACACGTTCAGAGCTTCACGGCGTGAAGCTGTTAACCAGGGCTGTTATTTACACCCACATCATAGCTGAACAGCAGCAGGGCCAAGAGCGTGTAGGCTCATGTAGTTTATATCAAGAGTATAACAGAGATTCTACAACCTGAGAGAGTTTCTGCTGTGTATGTTGTGTGTTTCTGTGTAGCCAGCTGAGTTGTGTAACTGCGAGGCGTTGGGTGGGTAAACACTGCCGTTGCTATTGACACAGTGCAAAACCTCGTACTGTCAGAGGTCATGGGTTGCAGACTTGAGGCTTCAGCTGTTGTCAGGAACCAGGGAGGCGAGCGAGATTGAAAGTGAAACTGGCCAAAGTCCAGCGGGAGTCCTGTTATGTCTGCTCGGTCTGCAGGTCACCGAGGATACGTCCAGCTGATCTTCTGTGTCAGCTCACTTGGCTTTTTAACGCATGATAGATGTGAAACCAAACGTCGCAGCAGTGACGACCACAAGAATGCAGTTTGTGGTGAAGTGTTACTAGTTTAGTCTTAAAGTGAAGCTCTTGGGATTAGCACTCCGGTTTCTGTGTCTCGTCTTTACCAACAGAGTTCAACACAGTGATTCATTAAACAGGATCTCTTTTTCCACTCAGGACAAGTTCAACCCATATTTGTCCTTGCCGGGCTGATCTGGGTTGGTCCCTTTTATAGTAAACGGGCAGAACTGCAGCGTGTCGTGTCAGGACACTTAGAAATGTGCTTTTGTTGCAGCATTAAAGGTACAAATGACTGTTTATGTGGTTGTGATGGGTTTTGTTATATGTGCCCAGTGTTTGGAGGTGGATGTTTGTCTTTGCTCCTCAAATCTTTATTATTTAAAACCTTCAACAGCAAACATACAGAGGAGCACTCCTTCTGACAGATAAGTGATTTAAGAGAATTTATCAATCTTCTCGTATTCAGAATTTTTCATGCATGGAATAGAGTGGTGTTCCAGACTAGAGCTGCAGCGATAAATCAACTAATTGATTAGTTCTCAACTATTAAATTAATCAGCAACAATTGTGATAATCAATTAATCATTTTGAGTCTAAATTCTCTGATTCCAGCTTTTTAAATGTGAATATTTTCTGGCTTCTTTCCTCCCCTGTAACAGTAAACTGAATATATTTGGGTTGTGGACAAAACAAGACATTTGAGGACGTTATCTTGGGCTTTGGGAAACACTGATCGACATTTTATGGACCAAACAACTAATCGATTAATCGAGAAACATGATCAACAGATTAATCGATAAGTAAATAAGTGTTAGTTACAGCGTTAGTCTAGACCTTTCTTAGGAGTCGTATACAGATAGCCTGCCGTTCACCCCTGGAGGAAAACACCGATTGAATTGTAATGCCAAATCAATTGTTTTGTGACAGCAGGTTATCAATAGTTAAAAATGATGTGCAAGGAAAACGTAATGCAGAAAGTCTGAGAGGTTTGGGATAACACAAATATGAGACATAAATCCAAGGGACTATTTCTGTGGTAGAACGTAGTTCTTGTGTGAGATTGTCTGCAGCCACTGGTGTAAAGTAATAATGTATGAATACATGATAATAATAATACAGATGTTAAAATTGCAGAACTGTTCTGCATCTCCAGTTTGGATTTTATCTCCAGCTGAAGAAAGATGAATCTGAGATTTAGGACATATTTCCTAGTTTGTAAAACCGGAAAGTAAGTAGTCTAGTAAAGAGAAGTCTACATTTAAGACCGCTTCTTCCTTGTGTGGTTTATTTACCATCTGAAAGATGAATTTGAGTGAATCTTCACTTTGAAAGCTGTTTTTTCCCACAAGTCCTGAATACAGCAGTAAAAATTGTTCCCTCAGAGTTGGAAGTAAACAGATGATTCAGCAGGCGCTGCAGTAAACACAGGGATTAATAAGGAAGACCTGTGTTGCAAAACCTCCTCCTTCATTGGGCAACAGGCATATGGTAACAATCCAAATGATGCACTCGGGGAGCGTTAATCTGCTAAAGATCCACAACAACCAGAGCCACGCAGAGGAACACACAGGTTACAGGTACTGAGCTTCAGTATGTGTGACAGCAGTCCGGCCTGGATTCAGGAGACCCAGCTAGTTTTCAGGCCTCAGACTTCACCAGCGTTACAATCAGCACAGTGCTCTGTATAAACGCTCCTCAGAAGAGTCCCTCAAAGCACTCTTTAGCACAGTTTATTTTAACTCACTGGCTTCTTAAACTTTAAATTCATTGTCACAGTTTTAGAGACGAGATACCTTCAGCTGCACATTAAAGTGAATTTGACCCATGGCTACAGCCTGACGTTTAAATAACACCTGGACATTTATTAGGAAGGTATTTAAACAGTAGTGCTATCACATGGGCATCATTACGTCTCTTGTACAACTTAACTTTAGGTCCTAGGAAATGCTGATACTTGTTTTATTGCTGAACAATAAATTACCTTATCTCATGTATCATACTGCGCCTACTTTCATACTAAAGTAGTTCAACATCTGTTGCATCATACACATGAAGTCTCGACGTATACGATATATAAAGGAAACTCACATTTCAGAGTGATGAACAAGCTTTTAAACCAGACTTCTCAGATCCTTCCTGGCTGAAAATGACGCGTGGACGCAGACAGAAGACGAAATGAGTAATGTAGGTAACAGTGTGTACAGCAGTAAACATGCTTGTCTCAGGACCGTTTATTCACCTGACTTTCCTCTGTGTTGTCCAGGTGAGCAGCCCAAAGGTAACCTCATCTCTGATGTCACTGGGAGACACAGTAAGTACAGCAGCCGGAGTAACAAGGGCTCTTGTCTACAAGTTAATTGTGTTACCTTGGATAGTCAAATTAAAGTTTCATAATGTTTAATAGTATTAAAAGCATCCACCTGTAGGCTTGAAAGGTGGATCCTACACTTCTTCCTCCTCTTCTGGATGTTGGACCAGAATACTGTGCAGGTTCTTCTAAGCTAGCAGGAGAAGCTAATGTTGTTGTGTGACTGAGTATTGAGCAGCTGGTTCGTTTCTCCAGCAGGTATCCCACCAGGTGAAGATGATGGTGGACAACAAGGGGCCCTCAAGAGGTTTAGTGCCATGTGGTCCTCCTTCCGCAAAGGCAAAAGAGATAGTGAGTATTAACTAACCGCATCACAGAAACATGATTCACTTGGACCTTAGTGCTGAATATTTGGGCACATTGTGAGGAGGGGTCCCTAAAGCCTCCCCTGCTTCCTGGTCTCTGTTCCTCTAAATGGGACCATAATTTACTAAATGAACATCATGCTGTGTTGAAGAAGTCTTGAAACTAGCGACTGAGACCATAAACTCATTAGGAAAGTGTTTACTGAGGGAATAAATCAGCAGCCTCATTTTCTCATAGACTTCTATTCAATCACACTTCTTTTAGTGGAGTCGCCCCCTGCTGGCTGTTAGAGAGAATGCAGGTTTAAGTTACTTCAGCACTGGCTTCACTTTTCAGAGAGTTGTTTTGAAAAGATCAGAACTGACCTTACAAACAGACACCAGGTGCTCTCATTTGGTGAACAGCGAGACAGTGGCGTCTCCTCCTCGCTGTAACGCCACAGGAAGCGCTGGTTAAATATATTTTTGTTGCTTCTAGAGTACACAAACTACTCAATCTACTGGAGTGTTTTTACCCAAACTCAGCTGAGAGTTAGCCACAGACTCTGTTCCAATGAACAGGTTTTTCAGGAGGAACATATTTTTGTATTGATCTGGCTTTGTAAAGCAAACAAAGCCTAAAGACCATCAAAGCACACAGAGGCAGAGTATTCATGCAGTGTTAGAGGGTTTGCAGGCCTGAAACACAGAGACACAAGGCTGCTGAGCTGAGGACAAACTCTTGCTGGTTGCTTTTATTTTAGACAAAGGAGGAGGAATGCAGCAGAGAACACAAGAGCAGGCAGCAGAGAAGGAGATAAGTGGACTCTGAACACAGCAGCAGAGGCGTCTGTAGACTGTGTTGGACTGTAAATAAATTATCCAGCACAATGACAGACCCAAAGAGACGAGAAATATAACTACAGTGTATTCAACACTTCCTTTCACCAACCACACTGTAACACAACTACAAGCTGTGACGTGCTAACAACATACAATAATTCAAATTTATTTACTCAGCTCCAGAAACAGAAGGCATCTCACTGCACTTTTAGAGCAGGTCTACACCATACATTTTTTACACAGACGCAACAGTTCCCGCTGTGAGCAGCACTTGGCCACAATGGGAAGGAAAATCTCCCTTTAATAGGCAAAAACATGGGGCAGAACCAAGACTCTGGGGCTGCCAAGAGAACACAGCAGCAGCACAAATATCAATACAAGTAATAGTAATGATGATATCAGTAGGACTAGTAATAATAACTGGAGCAGTGAACTGGAGCAGGAACATGGTGGCAGCAGGAAGCCTGCAATCACAGATCCAGATGCATGCATTAATGGTATGAGGTTGCATACTGAGAGAAAGAAAGAGGAGGAGAGGGAGAGAAAGAGGAGGAGAGCAGAGGTCAGTGCATCATGGGAGGTCTCCCGGCAATCTAGACCTATCTATAGCAGCATAACTAAGGGATTGTTCAGGACTCACCTGAGCCAGTCCCAACTATAAACTTTATCATAAGATGGATAAGTTGTCACAGTGAGGATGCCAGGTTTAACTGTACAGAGACCAGAACACTGGGTGGATACACTGTTGGACAAGAAATAGATCCAGCAAGTTAGCTACCTCTTAAAGCACAAAGTTTTTTGTCTGTTTGCAGATTAAACAGACTCAGCATGTTAGTCAGTGAGCTTTAGAGCTGCTGGTGTGTTTTAGATCTCTAGACAGAGCCAGGCTAGCAGTTTCCCCCGTTCCCAGTCTTTAAGCTAGGCTAACCACACCCTGACTGCAGCTCTGTACTGAAGACTGAGAACCATCTGACCCTCAGAAGGTGTTCCTTAATCAAACAACACAAACAGTAAATAAGGGAGGGTGGGGGTTTGTCGTGTCCTTCATCAAAGGAATACTTTAGATTTACCATCTCATTTGAAGCTAGGGTTTTTTTTCCAGTGCACTTCTGTGAGCAGGGAAGAAGTGCTGATCTACAGAGGCCTGGAAACCTTTCCAGCTGGATCACAGTGGGAACCCCCAGTGCTAAAGCACAATGTGTTTCTGTGTAGGAGTCAGAGATGCTGAGCCTACAGAGCCGCCGGCCCCGGTTGTGGCAGACACATCCAGGCAGCACCGCTTCGGCAGCGGGCAGTACTTCTTCGAGTATCTGGTGGTGGTCAGCCTCAAGAGAACCAAGGACGGCAGCGGCTACGAACCTCAGATCACCTACCAGTTTCCCAAGGTCAGTCTGACGGTGGAACGGATATCCAGCAGGTCAGTGCTGTCCACCTGAGACAGAGCACTATCTGCTTGTAACTCAATCCAAGAATAACCAAATTATCATTTTATCGGTCTATTAATCTGCTGGAGATGGTTAAACGAGTGTAAAATCACTTGAACTGAGGTTTCTTGCAGGAGAGTTTGTCCCCACTGTGAAGCAGGAAACACTCATGTTCATGTTATGTGATGAAAGAACAGAGGTTTGTGTGTGTTGTGACTTTCAGAGGGACGGGATGGCGAGGTTTCAGAAGGAGGAGGAGGAGAAGACGCTGAAGGCAATCACTCTCTTCTGTTTCCCAGAGGGCATCAACTGGGCTCCTCTGACTGAGTACCACAGGTACAGCTGCTCCTCCTCTTTACACTTGTGTTCAGGTGCATCAGTACTTGTTCTGAGTTTTCGCATCATCTGTTTTCAGTGAGACCTTCTCCTTCGTTCTGACGGAGATTGACGGCAGCAGGAGAAATGGCTACTGCAGGAGGTTACTGGTCAGTGTGCAGACTTAGCAAGCTGTCTTCACATTTAGAGGCATCCTCACTCTGTTTATGAAATGTCCTCTCTGTTTGCTCTGCAGCCTCGAGGGAAAGGAGCTCGACCACCTGAGGCTTACTGCATCATAAGCTCGCTGGCTTGTTTCGGCCTCTTCTCCAAGGTGAGTTCACCTGAGTGTTTCTAGAAGAGGAAGTCTGTTTCAGAGTCTTTTATATTTCTTAACCTGACTACCCTAAGCTCTGCTTCTCTATTAACATTAGAAAAATATCAAACTGTCTTTTAGAAACTAGTTTTGTGTTTGTGGACTTCATGTCAGCATTTACGACTGTTCCTTCATTAATCACCTGGTTGATCACCTGTGATAAATACCTGGCAGGTGCACACTTGGTCAATAAAACTAGCTTGTAACTTGGTTGGCTTCATATTGAAGTGAAACCTAAATATCAAAAGGAAAATCCTACGACATATTTATTGATAAATATTGTATGTGAGAGGAGCTCTGTGGTTACCTCAGTGTGTCCAGGGCGTCTCATCTGTTTGGATTAGACACACCTGTTGTCGGGTGGTTTTCTTTTGTTTAGTGTTTAGTGACGTGTGTCACTGGCTGTAAACGCAGCCTGAAGGTCGACTGGAGCGGATTGTTGCTGTGAATAACTGATTGGCTGAATTAAAGCTTTACAGTCCTCTGGAAGTTTCTGGGAATTTGGGGGTTTCAGTAACATGGCGGAAGTTTACATTTAAATGTGACTACTTAAAGGCCATAAAAATATAAATCAATGATTCAGTTTCCCGGCAGTGTGGATTAGAAACAGCCTTAAGACCTTCATGTTGGGAAATAACGTTTGCAGACTAAATAGATAATTTCTTTTCTTCATATTTAAATATCTTTTAAAGTAGGAAAACTTCTTGCACACTGCTCCTGTTAGTAAGTTTAGATCGGTGTTTTCACTGACTCAAAAGTCTATTTATGAAAACATTTGATTATATTTTAGTAAGATGTCTCCCTATTTTCTGATCTGCTCCTTTATTTTAATTTCACATCTCCTGTTTTGCTAAATTCAGTGTAACGTACATTTCACTGCATTTATTCCACCATTACAACAATACGTCGCCGTTCTGCTGGCTGGAGTTTTATTTCCACTCGCTGTTAAGCTTTTATTTCAGGACTTCTGAGACTCTATAAAGACTGAGATGTGTTGTATTATATTTACTGGTGCTGCATTGTGACTGTGTGTGTATGTGTGTGCAGATATTTGACGAGGTGGAGAAGCGGAGGCAGATCTCCATGGCCATGATCTACCCATTCATGCAGAAGCTGAGGGAGGCTTCGTTCCCAGCTCCAGGACACACTGTGGAGATTAAGAGCTTCATTCCTGAGTCGGGCACTGAGGTCAGATCAAACCCCCGCTTCTTTTGCTCACATATAGTTTGATGATGCAGATATTTTACTGCAACGAAAGACTCAGATCAACAGAGGCAGAAGTTCAAAATGATTTCTGATGCAACACAAAATGTACAATGTCATGCATCTTAAGGGCGGCTGTGGCTCAGGAGGTAGAGCGGGTTGGCCGTTAATCGGAACGTCGGCGGATCAATCCCTGGCTCACCCTTGTTGCGTGTCGAAGTGTCCTTGGGCAAGATACTGAACCCCGAATTGCCCCCGGTGGCTATTCCGCCACTTAGGCTCAGTGTATGAATGTGTATGACTGGTGAATGCAGATGTAGTGTAAAAGCGCTTTCAGTATATAATAGTTATAATTTTCTTTAATCTCAGAATGTGGCGACATCTCAAACAAGAAGTTCCGATGCACAAAGACACGTGAGCAGTCAGGTGGTCAGACAGGTTGGAAACAAACCTCCGAGTTAGACAAACTTTTTAGAGAAAGTGTAGTTGAACAGTAAAACTATGACCCGACCTGTCTCGGTTTACAGTCCCACCTCCTGCTTCTTCTCTGACCAAGCCAACGCACCTGACTTTCAGTTCCTGATTGTCTCACCGTGTTATTAGCGAGTTATTTTGGTGAGTATAGAGCCGTCATAACTGATGGACAGTCCCCTTAAATGGAGTTGAATTCAGTTCAAAGAGATCAAAGGTATAAAACTTCTTAAATCTGGTCTCTTGGCTGCAGTAATGTTTGTTCCCTATCCCTATTTTATACTTAAAATAAAATTATAATTATACTGTGGCTGGTATGATAGTGAAATGTGCAACTAAAATACAGCAGATTATTAACATGCAATAAATAGTTTTGTTTTAGACTTTAGCTTGAATTATCTTTAAAAAAAACTGTGAGTAGTCGCATTTATAAGCTGTGATGAGCCGGGACTTCCTACAGGAATAACTTTCAGTCTGTTCCTCTTGTGTCACTGAGTGAAGTCATATGTCTTTAATGCAGGCAGATTACATGTGTGTCTCAGAGAGCAGCTGGGATCTTCCTCTGCAGTAATAAAGTCTCAACATCTGCCCGTCAACCTAGACCTGCGCCAAGCTGCTTTAAAGAAATATGACCACATTCAGGAACACAAGAGGAAACAACGGGCAGCCCAATTTATATGTTGCAAACCTTCCGGAGACAGCTGCCCTTTCAGACTCAAAGAATTGACTTAAACTGAGCTAAATATAGCCTAACCACATAAAACCCACATTACAACAACAAGGCCAAACAGTAAACACCACATGACCATGCTCCTTTCTCTGGTAGCCGAGTGAGCTCCTCCAGCTGGGTGTGTCTGTGTGGAGCGCTGTCTGAACCTGTAATGTTACCTCACAGCAGAAACACCATCAGTCCGCATGTTCCAACAGCTCAGTCATCTCAGGTATTCACTGACGCTGTCCACTGTTTGTGTTGCAGCTACCATGACCAGACAAAGACCCGCTTCTCCTGCTGTGTAAAGTTCACAATGAGACCTGAACGTGTTGAGTTTCGATAACTATATGCATTTGCACACGCAAACCTCATCATGAAGTGTTTGCATGGACAGACTTCTCAGGCTCTCTGTGAGATGGTACAGCCGTTAAAGGCCTTTGGATTGTCAACCAGAAATACAACTGCAGGAAATTGCAAAATATCTTATAGGAAAACATCCTTCGGCCATACTTCCTTTTCAATCAAGGGAGCTAAGATCTGGAACAAGCTGCCTATTGAGCTAAAAACAGAACAAAATCATCAAGAATTTAAAACTAACTGAAGAAGTTTTTAAAAGATAATCAGTCGTGTGGTCGTGTGTAGGGATGGGGGGGGAGGGAGGGATCGGTGGGTGGTATACATGTATGTGCTCAATTGTTTTACTGTTACTATGCTTAATGTTTGTTGTATATGTAATGTTAAAAGCCCTTCTAGGGACGGCATTGGAAATGCTGTGATGTTGTGCGTTGGAAAATTGTTATACAATTCTCTATGTTTATAACATCTGTCCCTATCAAATAAACCTAAAAAGAAATCACAGGAAGGAGCTGCTCTGTATATAAACACTGATTTAAAGTGGAGGAAGTAAATCATAAAAAGCACCAACACTAACCTGCACCTCCTCCCTCCCTTTAAACAAGTGGTTTTTAGCACCAGACGGTGGCGGCGTGGGAAGCCAGTGGCTCGTTAGCCGTGTGTTGACATGTTTGTGATGTGGTGACTCTCACTTACCAGATCATCAGTCTGACACGACCGCTGGATTCCTGGCTCGAACACGTAGACTTCGCCACGCTCTTCCGCTGCCTGACAGACGAGGAGGTGTTATTGGTGTTTGCCGCCGCCGTCCTGGAGAGACGGATCATCTTCATCGCTGATGAATTGGGGTATTACACACTCACCCTGTGCGCTATTATTTACACAATACACAAAGTAGGAATACAACAACAAACACAAACCACAGTTTATACAAGAGCACACAGGTTTACCTCAACCCCTCCGTCAGAGAGCAGCTAAAGAAGGAAACCAGCTCCACAGGTAAAACCTGCAGTAAGCAGATTAAACACACTGCAGAGGATGCTGGGAGTCCACCTGAGCTCTGTGTGGCTCTGCCTGGAAACAAGTGGCAAAGATCATCAGTGGTTCACACGTTTATGTTTATCACACTGAGATTACCCAACCAGCTGATCATAGCTAATGTTCAAACTGAGTGAAATCCTCATCCAAGATGGTTCCTAAACATTTGTACTGCTGCTCCTGATTGGTCAACCGACAGAAGATTATTCATTAAATCATTTTGAAAATTCATTTTGATACGCACTTACGATTGTTTTAAATGATTGTTTGTGAATCTTTTGGGTTTTGGACTGTTGACAAAGCAAAACGTCTGCTGTCACCGTGGGCTCCGGGATACTGAGGGACATTTATCACCATTTTCTTTCATTTCATTCACAAGACTAAATCAATTAATCAATGATTAAAATTAATTGATAGTTGCAGATCTGGTACTTCTTCTGCCACATCCCGAGTTGTTTTGCCATCTGTTTCGGCATTTTGACATTTTTAGGTTTTACAGCAGGTTGAAGACGTTTACAGTTGATGATTAATGTGTTAATTACTGTACACTGACATCACGTTATCTTTGCTTAGTAGCTAGTATATAGAGATTTCTCATCACAAGATAATATTCCTGAAA